TTTCTTTCTTTCTTTCTTTCTTTCTTTCTTTCTTTCTTTCTTTCTTTCTTTCTTTCTTTCTTTCTTTCTTTCTTTCTTTCTTTCCTTAATAGTGATTTGCACCTTTATTATCTCAACTGCTTGGGTGTGCATAGAACATGTAAAGCAGACCAGAACAGCGAGGATATGAGAGGAAAATTTTTAGACAGTAGCTAGGAGCCTGGAAAGTGTCTTATGCTCTTCTCTTCTTGGAGAAAGACCCCGGTTTCTGGGTTCCCTTGCTTACCTCCTGTGTTCCACTCACTCTGACAGGAATTCCAACATAAAACCTATTTCTTAAATGTCTGAATTCTTATCTGTGTATGCCGTGCAAACCGGCACCACCTATTTCACTCCTCTTAGGTGGATCTTTAAACTGGGCCTTCCTCATTGCTGGGCTGAGGGGTTCCTGCAAGCAGCACCGGGTAGGGAAGTGACCCACGTGAGCTAAGAAGGAAACCTGACCCAGCATGTCATACTTAGCCAGGCTGGTTCCAACTTCTGAGTCTCAGACCAAACACTCTACTTTTCACCTATTTAAATAGAGTAAAACTTCAGGAAAAAAGTTTTCTTGTGACAATGATTACAATAAAGCTTAGGGCGTGGCTACGTCCACACTCCTTTGCAAAGCAGCAGTGTCCTTTACCACAGACTGGGTTCTGTTGACTGAGAAGCAGCACCCAGGGAAAGCATCTAGTAAGGAAGGGGTTGTCATGAGCACGGGATGGGTCCTATTGACCGGGAAATGGTGCTCAGGATTTTGGGGAGAGGGTGGGGGATCGATGGTGAGGGCTGGCTGCATAGACTAGCACACAGCCACCAGGTTGTTAACAACGCCCACCCCAGCCTTGCTGTTGGACAGGTGTGTGTTTCTTCCATTGAAGAAAAAAGCCTGCGTGTTTATCAGTTCTACCTTCTTTAGCGCTCACGCGCAAGCACACAGACCTCGTGTCCTTCTACAGTGGATGCACTTGAGTCTGAAAAGAAAAAAAAAATCAAGATTTAGGGCAACACATTAGATTTGTAAGTTTTAGAACTCCAACATATTGGTCATTTAGCAGTTTCCTTCTTGGAAGTTGACTTTAAAATGTCCCCTGGAAACTGGAGTTTAAGAGTATTAGAGGCATGCCTCAGTTGGTTCTGACAAACGGCTGCTTCGTCACTGCGTCCATTCCCTCTTTCTCTGGATAGTCCACGGCCTGCCTCCCCTCTGCAGTTACCGCTCTGATTCCTATCACTGTGCAGCAGGCACGTCCATCCTGTGACACTGGTGTCCACTGTGTCACCCATAAATATCAATCAGCCGGAACTGTTCTTCAGGGTCATCTGCACTGCTCCATGCTTTAGCAGTTTATCTCGAAAGAGATAGACATTTCTCCACACCTTGATAATATCGTTATACACTTACTACTACATACATAGACTTGTAAACAGTGGACGGGAAATAAAGTTTACCTTTTAACAATGAGAATGTAAAGGTACACGCCTTTAAACCCAGCACTTGGGGAGGCAGAGGCAGGCAGATCTCTGTGAGTTTGAGACCAGCCTGGTCCACAATGTGAGTCCAGGACAGCCAGGGCAACACAGAGAAACTCTGTTGTGAAAAACAAAAACAAAATGAGAGAGAAATAGAGAGAGAGAGAGAGAGAGAGAGAGAGAGAGAGAGAGAGAGAAAGAACTTACATTAAGTTAGTCACTCAAGATTCTTTATTCAAAATTCATAAAGTTGGTAGTACTGAAAGGACCCAATCAGGCCTTCTTTAAATGCAGTTTCATTCAAAAGCATTTTAAGGAGTTTGCTGCTCCTCAACCGAAAGAACACAGTGCAGAGCGAACACAGCAATCTCAGAAATTATCTGCTCTTCCCCGCTCTGATTATACTTTTTATCACGTATTTATTTGTTGCACAGGAGGGCCTGAAACTTGTTTTGTTAGATGAAAATATGACAGTAAGAGAACAAAGCCTTGGTTTATTCCAAAACAGAATGGGAAACTATTTATGCACTGATTTTTAAAATAACCTGTATTTATTTCACACTCAAATTTTAGGAAATTACTTCCTGAAGTGCAGAGACTACTAGATTTTAAACACTGGGCTAAAATAATGCAAACACCACTGAGATTTGCAGGTTGAGCCAGCTTGGCCCCCATTAGTCCTGGAAACTAATGCCATGAAGAGTATTAGCCAATACATGGAAAAGATTGGTTTTAACCTATTCGTGACCGCCATCCTTTGTCAAAATTTTGCTGCATGGATGGATATACGGTAACTTGCTCATCTGTCCTGTGGACACGGCTTCTAGTTTTTACTTATTGCAAATAAAGCTGGTGTAGCACTTATGTGCAACATTTTATGGGCATTTGTTTCTATTCCCTTGCACGGACACCAAAAATGGAACTGCTGAGTCACACTGTAGGTGTGTGTGTGTCACGATGAAAGCGTTCTGATCCACTTCCTAAAGTAGCTTTCTCACTTTCTATTCTAGCCGCCGTGGAAGAGAGCTCTGGTTCCTCATCGCCCTGCCGGCATTGGTGCTTCTAATTGTAGCCATTTTTCTATGCACGAAATGGAATTTCTTTTTGGATTTAATAAGCATTTTTTTCTGATGACTAGACATGTCGAGCGCTTTTTCATGTATGTGTGGACTATCAATCTTCTGTCAGATGTCTGCTGGAGTCTTCTTACTCATTAAACATCATTGCTTGTTTTCATTGCCAAATTGTAAACGTTCACACAATCAGAAATATGTATATATACCAAGTACATTTTCACATGTCTGTCAAGAATATTTCTTCTAGTCTGCTTTCTCACTGATGACTTTGGGTAAGTAAAAGCTTTTAGTGTTGATGAGGTGTGTTTCTCTCTCTCGTTCAGAGTGGATACATTTATTTTCCCTAAGTAATCTTATCCCACTTCTGGATCAGGAAGTTATGTGTTCCTTTGGAAGACACATATTATTTTGCTAGCTTTGGAGATGTTTAGGCCTCATGTTCCGGTGTGGTGTATAATTTCTCTTGACTCAGTGTTTGTTCACAGTGCAAGGTAAAGGCTCAGTGTCTCCTTAGCAACACTGAGTTACCAAGGATTGACTTTTGCTCTGGAAACTTAGGAAACAGGTGGAGGGGATGCTGCATGGGGGATAGAATGCTTACTCAGCATGTATGAGGCCTCGATACCCCTTTCCCAGCACAGAAATGGTGGACAGAGAGAAACAGAAGAAGGAACATACAGATTCAAAAGCACCACACCAATTGCTGTCTGTCATAAAGCTGTTTGGGTACCCAATTCATATTTTTCTTCAAGGTAGTCACAATTTATAAGTAGACACAAGTAGAGTAAAAATTAGCTACTAATTCTTAGGGGACCTGAATTTAGAGCAAATAAACAACCCAAAACTTGTTGGCCATTCTAGAGTGAAAGACCATGGAAGCTTTTCATTTTCTAGCTTCCTTCTCAGATGAAACAACACCAATAGCAGCCTAGGAACTGCAGATGGGACCTGATTCCTCAGGGCTTCATGGCTCATTGTGGGATTTGCCATCTCTGCTGGCTTTGTGCCTGTTGTGATTTTTCTTTTCTATTAGCCTACAATAGAAGCGCCCTGTTCATGCCAGCGTGCCAGTTCCAGGACACAGTACAGAAACGAAAATATTAACACTGCTGGGTTCCACAGATGGAACCCCACCACAAGGGTGTTGGAGGAAAAGTGGGACTGAGAAGTTCAAAGACTAGGATTGCTTTCAAAACATGTATTGAAATTATGCCTAATGTGAAATAAAGTGAAAATTGTTTTGGTAAATAGTTTACCAGTGAAAATAGTCTAGTCTTTCATTGCATTAAACTATCATGTGTATAAAATACAGTTTTTATAATTAAAAATATCCTATAGCAATCAGTCAGAAAAAACTGCTTAAAAACTGAGGTATGTTTAAATGCAATTTACACTAGTTTTCCATAGAATTTCCTGAGGCCAGAAACAAAGTACCCAGTACCCTAATTTGTTAACTCGAATTATCAGTATCTTATTTTTACCTTAAATTACAATATAAACATTGGTCTGCGAGTTTGCTTTTGTGGGTTTTTATGCAGGGTTTTTTATGAAGGTAGGGGGGCGCAGAAGAAAAGCTGCGGGACAAATGACCTCTGTGGTCCGGGCGCAGCTCCAGTCTTTGCTTCCCTTCTGAGACTCAGTCCATCTCCTGTTTGTTTTGACATTCAGAGAGATGGCACATGCCTGTCTTCGCTGTTTGCAAAAAGCTGAGGTGGTTGAAAAGCGAGGGTGACTGCCTTCTCAATGGCGTTTCGCTCTGTCCTCTGTGCTGGGCAGCGCTGGAGCGGCTCTGGATGCTCCTGGCTTTGTGCGGAACGAACCCCCGCTCCCGCCCCGCCCCGCCCGCGCAGAATTCACAGATCTTGGTTGCCTCGCTCCTATTCCTTTACATTCTGCCTGCTTCTCATTTCGCCAGTAAACGAGGTAGCTGCAGCCCAGATAGACTCCCCCCCACCCCCCATTCTCTTCCCTCCTCCTACCCCTCCCTAGACCTCTCTGGGCTTTGACGTCATGTGTGCTCCTTTCAGTTGCCATAGCAACCCCATTCCCCAAGCCCTCTCTGTCCGTCGCCTCTGGTAGGTTCCACAATGGTACAGGCAGCCTCCCGCTGCACAATGGTTTCCAGGCAGTGAGAGAGGGTGATTCAGCAAGCTCCTCTCTCTTCTTCTAAACCTCCTCATCTCTTTTTATTTTTATGGGGGGTGGGTGGTGCTTCTTATTTGCTTATCCCCCCCCCTTTTTTTCTGTTTTCATTTTTACAAATTTCCTTTCTTTTCCTCACTCCTCAATTCCTAGGGGCTTGAGTGAGCTACAGATTGGGTCGTCTTGGTAATCACCTATCTGTTATTATTTTTAAACAATCTCCACACCTTCAAAGAGTCTGCTCCTTATTCCGGTTTGGAATGTGGCTAATGAAAACCCAGTAGGGAGGATTTCTGGGGCAAACAGCCGGACCAGGATCCTAGTTCTCAGGCACGGAATGGTAGGTGGCTCCTTGCTCATTCTGGGTTCTAACCTGTCTTGGGAGGGTGGGTGATATCTGTCATCGCTTCTGGTGGGATGCGACTGAGCATGAGGAAGTAGGGAGCGATGGGGTTGGAGAGCTGGCTTAAGGAAGCATACTCTCTCTGAGGCAGGAAGACTCCAGCGGTTCACTCTGGGCAAAGCACCCCTTCTCAGACAGAGGCTGACAGCTTTCTGTTTGGAGTAAAGAATGGTAGAAGGTGGGACAGACCATTAGCATTGTGACCCAGGAAAGAGAGAGAGAGAGAAAGAGAGTTTGGAAGTGTGGGTTTTAGCTTATCTGAGAAATGCTGTAAGTCTCATAAAGCATTTAAAAAGGTCATTTGTAAACATAAATGTTTATTTCCAGACAGGTTTAACTTTAAATATTCTGGACCATATTCACAGTTTAGAAATCTTTTCATATGTATTAGAAACTAATGATGTTCCTCTTGTAGAAAGACCCTGAGGTAAATTTGGGCTGCAGACAGGAACACAGACAGGGGCTAGCCCAGGAAAAAGAGCAAACATTCGCACTGCAGCCGCCTAGGTAAATGTCCCTTTAAGAAAGTGATCTCCCAGTCTCAGCAGGCAGCATTTTTTCTATGGCAAGGTTCCCAGGTATTCTGTGCTGACATACTGTGTCCCCTAGAAATGTCAGAGCATTTCCAGAAGAAGAAAAGAAAGCTGTCATTGGAAAAGAGCTTGGCGATACAGTCATCAGAATTTATGTGCTTGTGCCTTCGGCAGGATAAGTGTGATTTGTTGGAAAGCCTCCAAGTGAATCAGGTTATGGATATTTCAAGAAAATCATATATATGTATGTGTATATTTATTTATTTTTTAAATTTTTCTTCTAACATTTAAATACAGAGAGCAAGGCACTGCTTTGAGTCCCTTAAGCAGATAACTTTCAAGGGCATTGCAATTTGGCCACAGAGAAAGAATGGCTTGTCCCAGGGCAGTCGGTTCTGGAGCAGCCATGGGGTTGTTTACATGGTCTGTGTTTGCTGCAGAGTAGTATGTCTGCATGAGAGCGATAACTTTCATGGACCCAGGCTAATTCAGGTGGGACAGGCCACACCTGGGAGGGAAGGAGGGAGGCTGTTACCAGGCGCGACCTGCCCAACCTCTCTCTTTCCCAACGCTGTTACTGTCAGTCTTGGAAGGTATTGCAGGATGCTGATCAACACATTTAAAATGGTTGCGGTAATGGCCACGTCTCTCAGAGAGGCGTCGGCGGACATCTGTCCTCAGTGAGTGTGTATGTCTTAATACAGCCAGCCATGCTCATGAATGAATTCACTAGCTTCCAACTCCACTTTGGAACCTTTGGGTTTGAGGGCTAGACAGTTTGATGTAGCAGTCTTGCTGTTCCTGGTAGGTGTTTTCTTTCTTTTTTAAAACCTTGATTTTGCCCTTAAAATTGATTGAAAGTATTGGATTTAGTTGTTTTTTTTTTTTTTTTTTTAATCTATCGTCATCAAAAAGGATTGATTCTTTTCCCACAATGGGACTAGAAAAGCAGATGAGTTTGACCTAAAGTATGAGTTTCCGGCTTCTTTTCTGGCTTCTCCTTCCCTCCAGACATTAGTTTTCATTTGCCCGGTTCTGGTCCTTGCAACATCTTGGCAATTGCAGTGGAAGAGGTTCCCAGTGACAGGGGAGCCAAAACTACCTGGGGAGTGGCGAAGTCAGCTGGGTCCAGCTTCCTGCTTGCTGCCTCCCAAAACAGCATCTGCTGGGGGAGGGTGTGTGTTTGCGCGCCGGAAGGAAGGGAGCGATGATGAGCGGATCCCACAGGGACTGAGCGTGAGCGCTCTGTCATTGTCTGGTGCATTTGCAGCTAGTACTACAGTTTCATACGTACGTGGTCAAGCTGTTTCAAGGTTAAGGGGAACTGAGAGGGGATCACGGACGCTATAGAATACAGTGATTTTGAATCTGCAGCAAAACTCACTCACGGTTAGTGTATGCTCTAGGACTATCAGAAACAAACGAGGGTTGCCTAATGGAAGCATTCAAAGGCACATGCATTTGAAATATAATAAAGTTATAGTCCAGCCTCGGGTAAACCAATCTGCCTCTCTGAATATAAGCTTAACCACAAAGGCTTTCCGTCCTGACGACAAAAGATAAAAGACCAGTTGAGGTTTCTTTGCTTGTTAAACACGGGGCCAGGCATCTTGTCTTGCTCTGGTGCTGACCTAAGGTCTTATTTGTTGTAGCTAGAGGATGGATGTGGACTGGAATTGCTGCGAGTAAGGCAAGCGAATCTCTGGCTGCTCATCGGGAAAATGGGCTGCCAGAGAAGGAGACTTCCTTCCATGGGCGCAAGAAGCAGCCACATCCGCACTGGGGGGATTTCTTCCCCGACCCTCCTCCCCCCCTCTAACAGGCTGTTCGAAGCTTTGGCTTGGCGTGGAGGCCGCCTGGCACTGAGAGGTGCAGAAGCGTCCAGGGGTGACAAGAAGGAGGGCGCTGCTCTATCTGCTGCAGGCCGGTGTGCGCCTCCCACCACCCATGCAGCCCTTACTGCAACCTCTGGGAGGACGCGGGGAGAGCGGGCCGCGGGAAGGAAGGAAGCGCTGAGGGAAGTCAAGACGAACAAAATCCATTCGTGTCCCCAGCACGCTGAGATTATTTACTGCGTTACGTAATCCGGGGCTCAGACTCCGCGCTGCTGATTCGGAGGAGAGGGCTCGCTGCATACACAGCCTCTTTTCAACAGAGCTTGTGTTTTCAGACAGTCGCTTCTTTCTCCCTGCTGGTTTTCACCCCGAAGTTCTAGTATTTTGAGCAGAATGCTCCCCTCCCCCGCCCCCTTAGTTTGAGGACATTTCAATCTCATGAGCAAATTGAAGTGAAGAAGGGAAAGTTAAAAATCTGTGTATTTTGAGGACCACTGTTTCTCTGTGTTTAATGTAGAAAACTTTTTTTTTTTTTAAAGTGAATCTTGGTAAAAATGAGCAGAAACACTGGGTAACACTGAAAAAAAAAATCCCTGAATGAAACCTATATGTTGGGAAGCAGTTTCCAAACACATCTATTTTTCAGCAAAGGGTTCTGTAGTTTAATTGACATTTTGAACCCACAACAAGCTGCTTTGGCCTTTCTCTTAGCCCTGACACCTACAAGACACAAAACCCAGAGGCTTCATAGGATAATGCTGGAGGGAATGGAAAGCCAAGCTTTTCACAGAAAAAGAAACGACAGCCGGAGGACTCCTGCACAAGCATTCTACTCACAGCGGCTCAAGGGCCCTTAGCGGTGCTCTGCGTGAGGTGCAGGCCTGGTAGAGGCACCAGCAGCCTGCAACAGCAAGAGATGTTCTTGGCCTCCTCCCCCTCCCCCTCCTCCCTTCTTCCTTGATGTCAGGAGCAAGACAAAACATAAGCAACAGATACTCGAAAACACTAGAAATGCAGTGTTTTTATGTCAGTGGGTTTTTCCTCACAGAAATAAACCGAGTCCTGGTTTGTGGCTAGCGGCCTGCCCGCCTGTCCCAGGTACTTCCTGAATCTGGGATCATGGAGTCATTGTCCTTTCTGTGTGGAAACGGGAGCTGAAACCACAGAGTTGGAAGAAGGCTCCTAGGTCTACTTACCTGGCTGCATTTATTCCGTGTCTGTAGGAGGAGGCTCCCTCGTTGGACCGGTCCCCTCACAATCACAGTAATTTCCTGTGCCTTCAAGATCCCGACTTACTCAGCTCAGCACATAGTGGGCACAACATAGGTGTCTACTAAGTGAGACCCGCTATGGGTGGATAACACTGACAGGAGTTTTGGCCATTGGAGCCGATGAAGTTCCTGTGGGGTGTTGAGTTACACTGAGGGTGGAGAGCTTGATGGTCAGTACCACAGGCATGAAGAAGACGAAGACATTCCACTCCAAAACGGTGATTGTGACAAAGGAGACCACGCTGGGATGTAGGAAGGAGATGAGCTCGTGGTGGTGGTAAAAATCACTGTAAGATCCCGGCCAGCGATGGGACTCCTATTTGACTAGAAAGGGAAATGATTTCAGGAAGGCTGTCATATTTGATAAGCTGGATATCAAACCTGTGGTTTGACATTGGGTAGAAAATGGAAACCTGGCATAAGCTTTGAGAATCTGGTCTAGATTAATGCAGACAACAGGATAAAGACTGGGTTTATAATAAGATCAGGTTATCAACATCATTTAGTTTCACATTGTGCATTCTAGAGGTCTCTACCTTCTCTCTCTTTTGCTGGGAACCACACAGCCATGGTTCCAGCGAACTGTGCTGTAAAAAGAAGACTCCAGTCCAGTGGAGACTGAAGCGAGGCATCCTTAAACTAAGACTCTCATTAGAAAAGCAAATGTCCTAGCTGTCAAGAGAATTATCAAGCTGTTCCACTATGGAGGACACCAACGTTTCTTTGCAACAAATACTAACAGAGTCTCTTTTTTTTTAACTTTTTAAAATTTTTTTATTAATTACACTTTATTTATTTATTTTTTATTAATTACACTTTATTCATTTTGTATCCCCCCATGGGATCCTCCCGATCCCATCCTCCCTCCCCTTTCTGCATGCATGCCCCTCCCCAAGTCCACTGATAGGGGAGATTCTCCTCTCCTTTCTGATCTTAGTCTATCAGTTCTCATCAAAAGTGGCTGCATTGTCCTCTTCTGTGGCCTGGTAAGGCTGCTCCCCCCTCAGGGGGAGGTGATCAAAGAGCAGGCCAATCAGATTATGTTAGAGGCAGTCCCTCTTCCCATTACTATGTATCCCACTTGGACACTGAACTGCCATGGGCTACATCTGTGCAGGGGTTCTAGGTTATCTCCATGAATAGTCCTTGGTTGGAGTATGAGTCTCTGGGAAGTTCCCTGTGTTCAAATTTTCTTGTTCTGTTGCTCTCCTTGTGGAGTTCCTGTCCTCTCCAGCTCTTACTATTTCCCACTTCTTACATAAAATTTCATTCACTCTGCCTGACAGTTGGCCATCAGGCTCAGCATCTGCTTTGATAGTCTGCAGGGCAGAGGCTTTCAGAGGCCCTCTGTGGTAGGTTCCTAGTTTGATTCCTAACAGAGTCTCTTAACTCAATGTTTTATGTCATCTCTGGTCCTTGCCACCTGCAAAATTTGTTTTTTTGTTTGTTTTTTTTTCGATACAGGATTTCTCTGTGTAGTGCTGGCTGTCCTGGACTCACTTTGTAGGCCAGGCTGGCCTCAAACTCACAGAGATCCACCTGCCCCTGCTTCCTGAGTGCTGGGACTAAAGGCATGTGCGACTACACCCGACTCAGAAAATAGTGCTTATTGTATTTGATGTTAATGTTTTTGTTTTAATACTGCAAGTGAAATTTAGTGTGAAATCTTAAAATTAAATTGATGTATCATCTTGCTCTCATTTTAGGCTAGTGTGAGAACACCACCGGCAGGACCCTCTCAGATTTTGGTTATGGCAACTCATGCAAGAAGCTGTTGAATTAGGCCTTTTTCCTGTAGATGAGAAACCACACAAGCAGTGGTGAGTTGAAAATCTACAAATATTCTTTAGTAGGATGTTTATAATCGACATGACCAATTTATCACATATCGACTCATATATGATCTGAATAAGCACATTCAACATGGTGTCAGTCTGGGTAAAAATCATTAGAGAAGAACATGTATGTTAAGGAATGCTGTGGAAACCCTTTGGTTGCCATGAGCCTTCCCAGTCTACATAGAATGGCTGTTATAGAGTAACAGTTGGGTAACATTGTTTTAGGTGGCATTTCTTGCTTGCAGCATTCTACTCTATTGATTAAACTCTTTTTAGTAGAAAAACAAGTGGTCCTAAGCAAAATTATAATGATTAATTCCTTTCAGAAACACACACACACACACACACACACACACACACACACACACACACACACTCACTCACTCACTCACTCCATTTAGCTCCTCAGATGCACAGGAAAAAGAACATCACATTTGTGAATATTTTAATCTACAAACCACTTGCTCAGGAAAAACAACATTAAAGATATACTTAGTTGCGATACCTACTTAGAATAATTTGGAAATGTATTATCTTATAAAAATATCACCCTACCCAAGCAGAATGTCTTTTAAAGTCAAACCTACACTTGCTTCGTAGTCACCCAAATCAGCAGTTAATAAACCGAAGCTGACCTGAGGAAGCTACAGTCTGTCAAATGGCATCTTGGAGAAATAGAATGCAGTCGTGGGGGCTGTAAGACTCTGAAAGGAAGCTGGCACTGGCGATCAATATCTCACTTTCATTTGCCTGGTGGCTCCATCCTAGCAAGGCTGGCCTGTATCTTAATGCGGCTCTCAGAGCTGCAGAAACCAGAGGAAATTAATTCTATAGTGATTCACATTGCGGCTTTCGCAATCTGCCAACCGTCACCCCGAAGATGCAGATCCGGGAGTCCCCGCTATTGTGTGCTTTACAAAAATGTGTTCTGTGTTTGTTATAAAGACAGAATCATATATAATTGCCAACAACCAACCATTTATGAGCTATAACAATGACAGTTTTATATGGCTGACTCTAATATGTTACTATGTATTATTCCCAGTAAGGAGAAGACATGCTTTATCCCCAGGTTAAACATTTATCTATTAAGCTAACATCTAATGAGAGTCTGTCATGTATTGTGCGGTTGGTTTTTTGAATAGAGGAAATTCTCTGTCTTAGAGGACTTTTCAATCTAAAGAATGTGTTGCTTACATGATGTGCTATTAGCTGAAGAGATACAGCCTAAAGATTGTGTACTTGTGAAGTGTGAGTCTGTAGGTAGACACAGGGCGCAGTGGCATTCCAGAGAGAAGGAGCTCACAGACACGGTGAGAATGAGTCAAGAGAGATGCTGCAGCAGGGATAGTTGGGTGGACTCCTACATACAGCAAGAGGGTAGCCAGAGCAGAGGCACAGTCAGTGCATGGCAGGGAACCCTCAAACTCAGCATCAGTGGACAGGCAGGCAGCAGAGCTAAGGCATTTAAGCATTATGCTGAAAATGAAGAGCTTTTGCAGCTCTTAAGTAGGATAGTGGTGCAACTGGCTCACTTTAAAATGGTGGCTGTTTGGTCCACCAGAAGACCGTATTACATAAGCGGAAGGTGACGCTCATTCTGTGTCAGACTTCATAGACTCCTAGAAAGCATGGCATGCTCCAGATCACGACTTCTCCTTCCGCCTCACAGGCGACACACAGCCCTCTCACCTGTCTCCCATCCCCCTGCTGTCCCTGGTAGAATTTACATCTAAGTAGCTCCACAGTGTAGATCTCAGCTTGTCTGCAGGTCAGCTCTACATAATTGTCATTCTAGTACCTACGTCGTTACTCCTCTGCTGATAATGAGTTCACACATATAGTATATTTGTGTGAGTTGTTGCATAGCATTTTACTGTAGAAGTATACCCAAATTTGCTTATACCTTTACTGTTGACGGGGGTTCAGATTTTATCACACACATCTGAAGTCAATATCAAGACAAGGAATTGCTAAGTTTGTACCCTTAATCTTAATAAATAATTCAAAAACATTTTTAAGTTGGACATGTAAATTTGTACTCATGGCGACAGTGCAGGGGAAACTCAGTATTTCCCTCTGTATTTCATTTGCAGGTTCTTATGGTTTTCTAATCAGGGGGATGTGTAATTATGCTCATATAAGTATGGATTTGCATTTTGTTGATTACTTAATGAGGAATATCATTCCATGTTTTTAAGGTGGCCAATTGATGCTTCTCTTGTGAAGTGCCCGTTTCAGCCTTTTTGAGATTTTTCTTTCGAAGTCGTGTCGTTTTTGAATTCTTACTGTGTAATAGGCCCTGCACTGAGCACTTTACAGATATCAGTCTTCAATCATCTCTGTGACCTTGCAGACACGGGAGCGCAGGGTTGAGGAGTTTGAATAACTTCCTGCAGATAACGCAGTAAAGAAGCGGTGGACTTGGCGTTCAACTTGAAGTCTTCCTGACCTGACAGTTTTTTAGTTTCTCAGAGTCTGTTCAGGGGCCGACTAGGCTGAGGCCAGAGGGAACATTAAAAATCCTGCCGCAGGAACAGAGACAATGACAGCCTAAGGTAAAGACTGGCCTGGAAATGAATATAGTGAGTGGGTGAAGAGGGTGGGAAGGAAAACGTCTTAGGCTTCCATATCTGTAGGCTAGGCAGATTCAATGTGAGTCATAGGCGAGTCTTTATAATCTTGATATTGTAGGAGCCTCTAAAAAAAGATTTTATGATTCTAACATTTAATGCGAAATTAATTAGAGCCTGTAGGGTTAGAAAGTTTAGGGTTAAAAAGAGAGCACAATGTTTATTTGGCTCAACTCTTTACGTTCTAAAAGACTAACAGAGACTATGTGGCTTTTCAAGATCTTGTGTCACCAAGCATCATGTTAAGAATAGACACCAGGACTGAAAGGAGAAAAAAAAAAGCAAAGATATAGCAAATAACAGCCACCCGGTTTTTAAATTAATAAGTGAAACTACAATCAACCTGTTTTATTCCCTAGACGATTCTCAGGTCAGTATTTTTGGCCCAAGTCTATTATCTCTGCTATTACATAGGCCCTGTTCACCATCTTTATTGGACTTATTCAAGCAGCTGGCACCATCATATCTTTTTGTCGATGATTTTACCAACGAAACCCCACATTTTATTTTTGTTTATAGTTATTACCATATGGCCTGCTTGTATAGGACTCTTCATTATACGCTACTGTCTGCATCATCATTTCCCTTCTCCTTAAAGAGCACCACATGCTTGCCCAGTCTCATCTCGGAGGTGACACTAAACCTTGTCGGGGACTCCAGTGTGTCTCAGTCCAGCGTCCTTTCCCTGTGGTTTGCTGCACTGAGTCAGTTTTGCTTGTATTCACGCTTCCTGTTCCTTGCAGATGGCCCCGACTTACAACACTTTTATTATTATTATTATTATTATTATTATTATTATTATTATTGCTTCACAATAATGCATACATGATAGGCATCTACTAAGAATTGCGTTTCAGCAATTAAGAAATGCAGAGACAGGAAAAATAGTCTTTCTTAGGGGTAACCCTCTCAATTGCTTATTCAGTAGCAAGTGGTCAGCCCTGAAATCATCCGTACAAGTAACACCACACAGGCTGTGCACGTTGTATTTATATGCTTAGGAATACATACACACACACACACACACAAACATACATACATACATACATACCTATGTGTGTGTATGTCTATGTGTGTATGTAACAAAAATTAAAGAAAATTATATGAATTTGAGAAAGAGCAAAGCGCTTGCTCTCATAGGAGGGGTTGGAGGCAGGAAGGGAAAAGGGAAATGATGTAGTTATTTTTTAATTTCAAAAGTAAAAAAAATATTAAGAAGATTTTGCGTCTTGATCTTTTGCCCAGCTGCTGCTGTGCTGCAGGGTACGTACTTGTCCTGATTGAAAGCAGCAGGAAGATGCAGATGCCAATCAGCTGGATGGGACACACAACAATTTATTATGAATCAGGCTTTGCTTTGGTTGGCTTTGGCCGACTGGAGGTGAATGGAAGTGTCTTGAGTCCATTCAGGACGAGGGAAGCTATGGTGTTGGCGAGGTTAGGTATGCCGCGGGTGCTTTTCACTTCTGCCAGTTTCAGCTGCCATAGGTTGGCTGCAGGGACAGCACCGTCAGGCAAGGGGCCTCCGTATTGGACCACGCTGGCTGTCTTGGTTGCTTTCCCATCAATCTGACCACAATACCTGGCAGAGGTAACTTAAAGGAGGAAGGAGTTTCCAGCAATTTTGGTCCCTCATAGTGGGGAAAGCAGGCTGGGAGTTTCCATCGCGGTGTTTGGAGAGTGGGCTTATGCTCGGCTATCATCCTCAAGGGCCTCCACTGGTGACCTGTCTCCTGAAGTCCCCACCAGGCTGGGCACCAGGTGTTCCAACACGTGACCTTGGGACATTCCACTTTCAAACCATGGCACTATCCTTTCAAACATTTGCAACACTCAGAAAGCACATCATGGGTTTCGTCTAGAGTTCAACAGAAATTCAGCATCTCAGGCCCTCCTGAGCCCCACTGACTCAGAACACGAGTTTTAACAAGACTCAGATGATTTTAGGCACACTAAAAATTAGCAGGTACTGGGTACACTGGCTCCAGATTTCTTCTCTGAGAAATTGTTTTCGGTCCTTTCTATTTGGCCTTCTTTTTCTCTTCCTTTTCAGCAGTCTGAACCTATCCCCTCGCTGTTTCTCTACTGTGGTTTATTAGGCATCTGCCTTGTGACTCTGTACTAACGAGGGAGTGATCCTAGCCAGACTCACTTATCCTTGAAGAGCCTCCACAGAGCTCAGTATCTGCTATTCTGTAGTTAATAGGCACTGAGTTCATACTTGTTGAATGATTGTTTCTTGAAAGATGAGTGAAAAAGAGACAGGCATCCTGGAGACAGACACACAGAATGACAGATGCAGGGCAAAGGAAGACCAAAAGTCTTCAGCTGCTACAGAAACAGTCAAGC